CAACTTTAGGAGACTGACTCTAACATGAATACGTTTGTATTACAACACACATTTTGTTCATCTTTCAGACAAAAAATAACGGTTGGTTGCTAAATTAATGCTCTGAATTCTAAATGGAGAACCTTTAAATCTCTCCATATTGAGTGATTTTTGCTATGTTGGCATGAGTTTAGGGATGTTATTGTCTGTCGTTCAGTTTTTGGGTCCACTTTCCTCCAGACTGAAATATCTCAACTTTTTGGTTGGATTGCGGTTAGATTCAGAAGATAATATTCACTATCCACTGGGGATGCATTGTAATGACTGAAGTATCCCTATAAGTAATGCATATGGAAAGTGTTTATATCCACAGCCCACAGAAGGTGCTGCCATGTTGTTGGTGATTCCTTAACCTTTCCTTTAGCACAACCTGCAGGTCAAAATAGTCCCTTAAGTACGGTGGCCTTGAAGTGCAAGACACCACAGCATTTCAGAAAACACCACAGCATTTCAGAAAACACCACAGCATTTCAGAAAACACCACAGCATTTCAGAAAACACCACAGCATTTCAGAAAACGCCGCAGCATTTCACAAAACGCCACAGCATTTCAGACAGCATTTCAGAAAACACAACAGCACTTCAGAAAACGCCACAGCATTTCACAAAACGCCACAGCATTTCACATTGGACGGAAAAGGTATTCCTTTAGGGAGAACACTTCTTGTTTGTGATTGGACAGAGCCAGCCAGAGAAGCACTGCTGTGATTGGTTATTTTTGCTGCCAGTCAAGAAATGACGCTTCGTGATTGGTCAGCACCCGACAGCGCAATATGTCCCAACACGTCAGCCAGCACATACTAGAGGTTTCTCAATACTCTAATTTCCCCTCCTCGACTCCTATCCTAGAGACTTAGTCCCGCCCACAGGAGATGCGAGCGGAGGACTGAGGAGGGGAACCGAGGAGAGAGGAGGGGAAGCAGCAGGTGGTTAGAGAAATGAGAACTCCTCTCCTCTGAGCGGTCAATTTAAAGAGACATCCATTAATGATGACAGGAGGCACAGCAGCCCTCTGTCTGATGGACAGATGTGTTCATGATGACTTATATATTTACTTTTAATTCATTCACAGTGCGGTATAATGAGACAATAACAGGCTACAGATGCGGACATATACACACACATATATTTATATAAATATATACAATTTCAGAATCAAACAAGTATGAGAGCACTCATAATAACGTAACACAATCAGAGACTGGATATATCCCCCCCTCTCTCCGGTCGCTGAAATGGAGAATTGAAATTACGGGCCAAAAGTTGTATTTACAAGTATTAAAAGTAAGCATAGGACACCAAACCAACTGAGACCCGTCTGTCCGCCGCATCTACACACTGTACAACACACACACATCTACACACTGTACCACACACACCTGTACAGCTCCTAAAGCATAATCAGGCTACAGCCTTTGTGTATTTTATTATGTGAAGCACTAAATGGTCTTAGAAAAATATCGACTCTTTGTTTGTAGATATTGTAGTGCCGAGAGATAGGGAGTCGGAGGCGGTGCAATGAAGGTGCAAAAGGGTACTTTACTCAAGAGCTGCAAAGGACATGTTGTCGGGTCGCAGTCCGGGACGACAAGAGAAAGAGAAAAGCTGGAGGACATAGTATGTACCCCGGAGGTACAGTAAGCAATAGTGTCCGTGCAGAACAATACCCCCAGCCTGTAGTTGAATTATGTAAAACAGTGGTCACCACACAAGCCCCCCCAGAATTCAAACATGGCACAATCCTCGCGTCCGGGAGGAAGCACCACAGGGGCCGAGGAGGGTGGGGCCGCAGGCGAGGGCCGGGCCATGGAACGGGCCGTCGGAAGGGGGGCCGCAGGAGAGGGTAGGGGCCCTAACGAGGGCGAGGGCATCCCCACCGGGGGTGGGGGGCGGGCCGGAACGGGCCTTCGTAAGGGGGCCGCAGTAGGCGTCGTGGCGAACGAAGAACTCACCCGCCAGTCGGAGAAAGCTGGGTCGCTGAGCCGCGACGGGCGTGAATAACCCGGTGGTCCCCAGCAGGAAGGAGCGCTGCCCGGCCACAGGCGAGGGCACAGCGGCGGCGAGCACGAAGTCCTCGGGAGGATGGAATCGGGTTCTTCCCTACCCAGCAGGTCGTGCATCGTCTCCCTGTAGGCGGAAGGCTTGCCGTCCTCCAGTGCCGAGACGATGCGGGAATGGCGAGCGACATCCTCAGCCATTCCGCGGGGCCAAGCCCGCCTTAACCTGCCATCAGGCCCTGGGGCTGATAGTTTTTGTAGGCCCCCTATTTAAACAACAAATCAAAGTCATTTATAGCCTCGGCAGGCTCTGTGATCGCACTTCTCCACTCTGCTCTATGCGCGCCTGGTCCTCTCCTCCAGATGAGTGACGTATCGGGCCTCCCTCATGTATCTGTCCGGTTGCCGTTGGCTCCCCTCCACGTAGCAAGTCCTCGTCGTCCTCCCATCTCCTCCAACGGATAATGTCCCTCCTGTCTGTTTTTCCTCTCCCGCTACTCCATCGCTATCACAACCAGATGGCCTACTTGGCTCCGAGGCCCCGCGGCCAGCACCGCTACCGCTCGGTACAGAACTCATCTGTCCTTCCTCCTCATCCTGGCCTACAGGTTTAAAATAACCTGTAAGCTTCGGCATGTTTTGTAATAGCTGCTTGTCTCGAAACTCCTTTTCCCTCAAAAATTTCCTTTTCCGAGCGCCACTCTCAAACTTTTTCTTCTCCGACATTTTCTCCTAAACAACCTTCATCTGTCACGCAATCACTCACAATTTGAATAATCATATGTGAAAACATATTCTCATTCTGATTGGCTGGTAAGCCCACTGACTGTTTCGAAGTCATCATTTTTGAGAAAAATCTCTGGAATCCATCGATCTGATTGATTAGCGGAGCAAATGATCAAAATACTACGGAGGGAAGATATTTGCATTTGGATTACTGGTCTGGGGGAAGCTCACGAGTGTGTGTGTGTGTGTGTGTATACGTGTGTGTGTTTGTGTAATTTTGCGTTTGTGTGTATTGTGTTTGTTTCCCGGGGAAAACACTCACGAGAAACACTGGCTGTTGTTGTGCCTGCTGTGACGTCAAGTTACTCCGTTCTCCGCTTGTAATTATGCCGTTAAGCTTCTAAGTTGTATTTATCATCTGAATTTGCTGAAACAAGTTTAATATTCTGAAAGCCAAGACTTTGTTTATTTGAAATCAGAAGTTATCTTGCTAAACGAAAATCCTGCTTCGTATTATACCCCCCTGGGGCCTGTACTACGAATCAGGATTTTCGTTTAGCAAGCTAACTTCAGGGATTTCCGGTCCTACGAAGCTGGTTCACTTTTTAGCAAGCTAGATAATTTATGCTGAGCGGCTAGCCTGCTCCGGAGCAGGATAGGTTCCAGGATAAGAGATCAACTCAGTGAAAGCACCGCCTGCTGACCAATCAGAGCTCAGTGTGCGGAGTTTAAAGCGATCAAGTCATATTACAGGAGAAAGGAAATACAGAAAAACTGCCGTTGCAAGAAAGACGGTCGGCAAAAATCACAGACTGTGTGAACGTGAAAATGAATAGAATATCACCTCCCATCTTCAGAGCAATCTGACTATTATAACATTAAGCTTAATTAAATATCTGCCACAACATAAGTAACCGGATCAGAGTAACATTACGTAGCCTACAGTCCGTGGCACTGTGAGTGCAGATGTCAATGTATCCCATTATCATTCATATCACATCATATCATATCATATTGTATCATATATTTCCTTATCTGAGTCAGCTGAGCCGTATCTGGCTGTGCAACACTCACAGTGTCACATACTGTATGCAGAAGTATTATTTTAAGCAATACATTAAGTTGACGAAACTCTCGAGTCAAATGTAATTGAAGTCAGATCCACTCGTGTCTTCAAGTGCAGTGCTTCGGGGCAGTGATATCATAAACCTGTTAATGTACGCATTCAAACACTTTTTCTTTTACCAGCTGTATTCACCTTGCAGGTGAATGTTGCTATGTTGCTTTTATCCTGGATAAAGTGTTTAAGTCATGGATGTTTAAAGTTTAACTTCTTCATATGTCTAATATTATAGTTGACTTTTCATTCAGGAAGTATGACACGCTGCGCTGTCAGTACGCTTGTCCATGTTTGTGATTGGTCGAATGCTCCAAATACCACCCCTTTCATGTGCACCTAACTAGATAGGCTGGCTTGAGCGATCCACTTGATAACCCGCGTCGTAGTACCGTTTAGCGAGAGCGCGTATGTTTTGGATTAGGCCAACCGGCTAACTCAAACATATCCAGATTATGTTGAACCGGCTTCGTAGTACAGGCCTCTGGTCATGAAGTGTCATTTATTGACTGGCAGCAAAAACAACCAATCACAGCAGTGCTTCTCTGGCTGGCTCTGTCCAATCACAAACAAGAAGTGTTCTCCCTAAAGGAATACGCTTTCGGTCCAATGTGAAATGCTGTTGTGTTTTGTGAAATGCTGTGGTGTCTTGCACTTCAGGGCCACCGTACTTAAGCCTCAGGCACATTCACATCAGCCGTTGGTGCGGTTTGTTTGGGTTAGTGACGTATTCTCTTGTCACAGTGTGAGAAATCAGATCACACGCATCAAGAAAACCAATAAGTTGTGCAAGGAGCCAACTAGGTATTACCAATAATTTTCCACAAACGATCTTTGTTTACATATTTTGGAAAGCTTAAATTTTGCCTTTGTGAACGCAAACACGACCAGAATATTAAAACAATGTATCGTCCTCACATTGGTTGTATTCATGATCAAAACATGTAGGTGTGAACTCGCCCTAAATAGCAAGATTGTTGTTTATATACTGTCAGGTATGTTATTCTTAGTGTTATTAAGTAAATGCACATGCAACGGCAAACAGGATGTTTTGATCAGCATATCTGTAAAATAACAAAAAAAAATACTTAGAAATGTTTTTTTAAACACTTTTTATCTTCCAATTAATTTCTTTAGACCTTTTCACACTTGTCTTTTGAGATGTTACCATACTTGCATTCATATTTTGTTTCACAGTGGTGTACAAATGTGTGCATACATGTGCAAATGGAAATGACAATGTTTGAAAAGAAAGGGAAATTATAGTTCCACAGTTAAAATACATTTAATAAAAAAGTATAACAGCAACAATAGCAATAACTAATCAGTGCATAGGACATTCATATCCTGAGATAAATACAGATAAATAAGCAATGAGTTTAAAAAGTAATATTTCAACTGTTTTCTGAGGAAGAGTATTTATCCAGTATATACTGTACTCGGTAATGTGTAACATCAAATGTTTAAATTATAAAATATATTATTATAAATTATAGACATTTGGATCTTACCCTAACCCCAGTAGCAGGTGATTTAATGCTCTGAGTGGTGCTAAGAGTAGAAAAATGCTGGATAAAAGCAGTCCAATTAACTCTGTTTCCTTCATCCTCATTCAAGGTGGTCATATGAACAACATATAAAGTAGTTTAGAAGTTAGTGCAGCGCAGGAAGTAGCTGTTGTTCAGCACGCGGAACAGCCTCCCGGACCTCAGGCTGTACTCAAACATGTATTTTCCACTGTAGATGTAGGTAAAACCTGCAGAACAGAGACTCAATGTTAGTTTCTGTGTCCTGTTTTTCTTTTATTTCAGTAATCTTGACTAAGAATGCTTCTCACCTCTGTACTGGAAGGCTGCAGTCACCTGGCCGGTCAGTCCGGAGAAAGTCTCATCCACTCGCTTGGGGAATCCCTGGTCCATAGTTTTTCTGACCTCATCATAACTGAGGAAACACAGTCAGTCATTACACCGATTCACCATTTGAAAACCGTCATCACACCTTAATAATTCACCTGAATAAATGTCACATAATCTGAACTCACCTGTAGTAATCGCTGCCTACAAAGAACAGAGTCTTGCCAGTGTCCACGTCATGAAAGACTGCATCAATTTTCTCCACACTTTTGGCCAGACCAAAACTGGAAATTGGTTTAGGATAGCCGCCTACAAGATCATATCCACTGAAAGCCCAAACCATCTTTCCTGTATAGAGATAGAGAAAAGAAAAGAGTTTAGTTTATGCATGTAAAGATGAATCTTGAAAACTGTTTCAGGTAAGGAAAACACAAACCTTTAAAGAGATAGACTTTGTCTGAGCTTCGGCTTTCATAAGCAGCGTCAATGTTTGAGGGGGCATCGGGCCAGAAGTTTGTGATGAGACTCTGCTGAGGTGTGCTGCTCTGAGGGTAGCTCCGCCAGAAGAAGCTGAGAACACACAAGAACATGAATGAGTTCATAAGTCAGAACGTGAATGAAGAGAAAACAATGTCAATGGACTTCAGCATTTGGATATTTGAGCATTCTCCAGGATGTCTGACCTGTCCTTGAAGAAGAACATCTCTCCTCGCAGGGTGGCGACAGCATCCAAGACCATGGTTGAATCACAGGCATCAGGAGTGGTGGGGGGCAGTGGTTCCTCTCCAGAGGAATCCGTATCAGGGCTTGGGCCTGAAGGATAAACAAAATGAGTCACCAAGTATTCAGAAAGCCCAGCATCACATTGAAAAAGCCCAAACAGTTGGTGCATCCCCAAGAGATTGTCCGATAGCAAATACACTGAAAAACATTAACTTTAATTAAATGTATTATGTCAACAGATTTCAAATGACTCTATTAGGTTAGTTGAAAGCAATAATATTAAGTTGAACCTAATTTGTATTTAAACGTTATATCATTGCTTTCAACTAACCTAATACAGTTATGTGGAATCTGTTGGCATAATACATTTAATTCAAGTTAACATTTCAGTTATTCCAGTGTAGGCATTAATGGCTCAGCCGGTTAGGACTAACCATAGAGAGACTGGATGCCGTTGACATCGTCCCGGGGCAGGATGAAGGTGTCAGGATTTCTGTATGCGTACACAGGGTACATGAGAGCACCAGCATCATCAGAGTGAGACAAGCCCAGGGAGTGGCCAAACTCATGGGCAGCCACCATGAAGAGGATGTAGCCTACAGCAGAAAACATACTTACAGGTTAGCCTTACAAGATAGTATCATGTCAAAACTGACAGTAGTTAGCATGATCCATCATGGTGTACGTAATAACAAACTGACCTGTGTTTGAACGGAAAGTGAAGTCCTCATCCTCGTCAAAATGAGCATCTCCACCAATGCCAGGGGATGGGGCGAATGCATGGGCAAGAGTACCACCAGGGCCATCAAAGGGGTAATAATCACCATGTGCTGTTAACAAGAACATACTCAGGTCAGGTTTTGCCGAACAGAGGGACAATAAATACATGTAAAAAACAGAAAATCAGAAACAGGTTTTCCCAGTGATACGAATGACCATCTGTCCAATGTGGTTTAAGACTTGCATGAATTTAGGGTTAGGATTAGGCTTACGGCAAGGATGCTCTAGGGCAGCGGTTTTCAAAGTGTGAGGCGCGCCTCCCTGGGGGGACGCCAGAGAGCTTCAGGGGAGGCACAGCATGAGAAAAAAATTACGAGAAAAAGATGAGTAAAGTGTCACTTGCACACTTTTGGCTGTCTGTGGAGACCGAGTTCCCCCACCTCGCCAAAAAGGCTGTACAAGTGCTCATTCCCTTCATCTCCACCCAGGGGCGGACTGGCCATCTGTGTGTTCTGGAGAATCACAGAACGGCCGGTCGTCAGCGGGCCGTTGACAGCCGGCTCGGTTCGCTGATGGCCGGCACCGCCCTTTATTTTTTATGTTTTTAAACAGCATCATTTAAGTTGCGTTGACAGGCGACAGTTCAGCGGGCCGTTTCCACGCAGCGAGGCTCCCCCCCCCCGTTGACAGTTCACTAGTGTGCTCTACCAATTTGTGTGGGCTGGGCTGGGTGAGATTCCAAGGCTGATTTTTAATCCCAGTCCGCCCCTGCCTCCACCTGTGTGAGTGCGGGTTTTCCGCATTGACTTTGATCAAAAGCAGGTACCGGTCAAGGCTGCAGCCGGAGGATGATCTGCGTTTATTCCTGTCTACATTGCATCCCCAAAGACGCAGACTCATTGTTCCCACTAAAGTAGGGGTGAGTGTAATAAGGAGGCATAGTTGACGTTCAGTGTGTTGCCGGGAGCATATAAGGATTCATCCACAATGTTGAAAATGTAAAAAATGATTTAAAAAAATGTTTGAAACATAAAGATAAAAAGGTTTACAAAAGTTATTGTTTAATGTTTTAAGGAGGTGACGCTACTCAGCCAATCAAATCGGGGCAGTCAGTGAGTCAGCACGATAGATTCAAACACACACACAGACGAGACAAGAAGAGAGAAACAGTCAGTCATTTCAAATGGCGTGCTCAAAAAAGAGAAAGGTAGACAGCGAAAACAGAGCATTTAATGACATTTTCTCTTACTGGACCTCTTTGAAATGCAATTGAATACCCCTGCATTATAGCAACAACAACAATAATAATAATAATAGCAATAGCAATAATAAATGGGAGGGGGGGGGCGCGGCTGTTCTTATGTTCTCTGGGGGAGGCTCACCTTCCCACACTTTGAAAACCCTTGCTCTAGGGGAAGTGACAACCAATAACCTGAGCACAGAAATAGTATATAACTGGTGAAGACACAGTAAAAGTTCTCTGTACTCACATTGGCGGCCAAAGGAGATCATGATGTCAGCGGTGCCACTGTAGATTCTGGTGAATCTCAGAGGAGTGACTTTGGCCCAAACCTGCAGAGCTCTTTCTATAGAATCATCTACCTCTGACACAGACATGTCCGGAGTGTAGTTCTCTATCCTGTAGAACAAAAGTCAGGAATATTATAAGTTAGACCTACTAAAGAAACTCTTTCACACACATTCTCTCTTTAGATCAGTCACCTGTAGGTAAGGCTGTTTTTCTGCCACTTGTACTGTCCAAACGTGGAGAAACGGGCAAGATTTTCGTCTGGAACACCACAGCGAGGCTTCTTCATGATTGCCACGGTGTCAGCATCCAACGTCCCGGTGATCTCGAGACCAAAGAATCTCTGCATCTCACTCAGCTTCCTGCTCGCTGGGCTGACCCCCCTCCGGATAGTAGGACCGGTCTCCTCTGTTAGGTTGTAGAATTTCTTTAAGTAGTTCTGCAAGAAAGAGAACAAAAGTTTGAAATACTGCAGCTGTATAACGTATAAACTCTTGTCTTGGAAGAATACATCTGTATCTTAGTATGCAGAAAGCTATTGACAGCAGAAATACTTTTTCCTGTACAGCTAACACATTCAGAATTCTTAGAAGGGTAGAGTTCCCCATACAATATATGACAATAAAACATAAATCAAGCATACATACCTCCGCACGTTCCTCATCTTCCACAGTAACCTGTGATACTGGCATGCAGTAAGCTGTGAGTGCCAGGCTCAGCAGAGTGCACAGATTGAAAGTCTTCATGTCTTCGTTTCGTTCTCGAGTTTAATTTTTGTTACTGTGCAGAGGGCAGCTGTTTTATAGGCTGAGGACTTCAGAGCGACAGGGCGCGTTGAGCAACTACGTCCTTCAGTGAGTGACTCAATATTCCTTTTATGGTTAGGAGAGGAAGTTGTGCTTTGATTGCTCACCCCAAAACAAAAAAATCCCCAAACAATGCACCGTGAGTCTGATGAAATAACATTTGTATTTGGATGTTATTCATGGGAATTTTATTGGTGGGAAAATAATATTGTAACAATTACATAAACTTGCCATAAAACGTTATCTGTGTATGATCTCCAGATTCACTTGCAGATTTAGTTTCAAAATGTGTTATTTTTGTACACCTGTAAAGTTCATACTATACAGATTAAAAAAAATAAAGGTCCATCTCATCTTATCTTATAAACAATTTGAATTTGTATCTAAGAAAAAAAGTGTTCCTGGGGCCACTTGACAAAAACAACCAAAAATGATAACCCTATATAACATGATTTTAAAAACATATAATATTATGTTCTCAAAGGTTGAATAAAATGCTCAATTTATTATGTTGAGCGCGCCAACAACATGGATATGTTTTATAGCAGTGATTGCCATTCAGTATTTGATTGATGACCATTTATTTTTCATTAATAGTCATTCATTATGCTGTGCCGTTATGTTTATTCATTATTTTGGGCTTCAATATTGTTTCTACAGCAACTCCCATTGGGTTTATGAAAACATTAAAGTTTATTTAATAACATATAATTGAGTGTTGTATTGCAAAGAAAGCCTGAGGGTTTTTTCACTTAATGGAGGAACTTAGTCAGCTCCAGGGTATTTTCCATCCAGTTAGTTCTCTAATAATCAACACCCACTTTGTACACCAATGTTTGTTTAGCCAATATGAATCATATATGAAGGTTCCTTTTACAGCATTGCATTACAACACTGAATCAGAAGCTGATTCACCACTTTATTAGGACATTATTCTTCAGAAATCATGTGGTTATTGCCATGTCATGTATGTCACACACAGACACTGCTGCGGCCGCATGGCTACATTAGTAATATCTGACAGAAATGACCATATTTGGTTTCATATAATTCCAATCACATAATGCTAAGTCAGCATACATGACATGTGGGATTTATTTGTAAAAGCTAGCTTGTATGTGTTGAACATGTTAGCATGGGATAAAACGATAGTTACGTATGTAACTACGGTTCTATGAATCCTGGATGACCGCGGTGCTTAGCACTGAATATCTTCTGTCTCGCGCATGCGCAGGTCGAATATTTATATCAACAAAGTCACGTGTGACCTTGTATGACCCCGGAAGGCAAAAGTTCCGGTGTTGTCAACAAGTTCAGTCCTATGGAATCTTCTCGCGGAAGCACGAGATTCCGAGTGACCAAGAAATCTGGCGGTCATCTAGGATTCATAGAACCGTAGTTACATACGTAACTATCGTTCTATTTCATCCTTACTGACCGCCAGAGGTGGTGCTTAGCACTGGATGACTTATACCAACAGAGTCACGAGGAAGTCTGAATACTTACCCTATAGGGATGGCCTAGGTGGACTCTGCAGGAGGACCACACACAGCGGGTGAGGGGCGGCAACATTCACCCTATAGTATCTGGCGAATGTGCTCGGAGATGCCCATGTGGCCACGGCACATATGTCCTCCAGGGGCACACCTCTCAAGGTCGCCCATGACGTGGAGACACTCCTGGTAGAGTGGCACTTTACTCTGGATGGCAAGGGACAGTCATTCGCCTCGTATGCCTGGGCAATGACGTCCACGATCCAGTGGGACAAGCGCTGTTTTGAGAGCGCACAGCCCCTTTTAGGACCACCGTAACACAGAAAGAGCTGTTCAGACTGATGTATGCCTGCGGTAGTCTGGACATAAGCTCTAAGGGCCCGCACCGGGCATAGGAGTCTTGACCTCTCTTCCCCCTCTCCTGATGGGGGGTGCCAGCTGGATAGGCCGATTAAAATGAGAGCGTGCCAGCGCCTTAGGGAGGAACGCTGTGTTTGGCCATAATGTGACACCTGAGCCATCTGAGTTCCACCTCAGACACGAGCTGTTCACGGACAAGGCCTGAAGCTCGCTTACACGCTTTGCTGAGGTGATGGCAAGAAGGAAAGCAGTCTTAGCTTGGAGCCACCTCAGTTCTGCCTGTAACAAGAGTTCAAAGGGAGGCGAGCATAGGGCATCCAGCACCAAGGGCAGGTCCCATGTAGGAGCCCTTGGGATGTTCGGGGGGCGAAGCCTCAGAGCTCCCTTTTAAAAAGAGGGATACCAGCCTATGGCGTGTTGGGCTGATATAGCAGCCACATACACCCTGACGGTAGCGGGACACCGGCCGTCGTCCAGGAGGGACTGCAGGAACTCAAGGGTAGTAGGCACCGAGCAATGTACTGGGTCCTCATTTCGCCCTTGGCACCAGTCAGAAAACAGTTTCCACCTGTTTTCGTGCCTACGAGTAGATGGTGCCCTAGCATTGAGAATAGTACTCCTGACAGGCTCTATGCAGTTGCTCAGCAGTGGGTCGGGCCCACCAGTGGCCAGACCCACAGCTGGAGACGGCAGGGGTCGGGGTGCCACATCTGACCCTCCAGCTGAGACAAGAGGTCCTTCCTGTTGGGGAGACGCCAAGGTGTCCCGCAACAGAGTCTGTGCAGCAAGGAGAACCAAGTCCTGGCTGGCCAGAAGGGGGCCACCAGAAGAAGCCTGTGGCCCTGATGAAGCACTCTGAGGAGTGTTGGTAGGATCAGAGGAAGGGGTGGATAGGCATAGAGAAGACACCCTGGCCATGAATGAGCCAGGGCGTCCTGACCCAAAGGGCTGGTCTTCTCCGTCAAGGAGAACCATAGGGGGCAGTGGGTCGACATCTTCGAGGCAAAGAGATCTACCTCTGCCCTGCCGAGGAGACCCCAGATGCTGGCCACCACCTCTGGATGAAGCCGCCACTCCCCTGGTGGAAGTTTGTGACAGAAGAGGAAGTCGGTGACTTGGTTCTGCTCTCCGGGCAGATACATTGACCGTAGGCTGGCCAGGCAAGGAGCTGCCCAGGTCAGGAGAGTCTGGGACACCTCTAGCAAGCGTGCAGATTTGGTGCCCCCCTGGTGGTTTATGTGATACACCCAGGGCCGCCTTAATGCACGGGCTGACCTGGGCTGAAGCCCAGGGGCCTACGGAGATCGGGGGCCTATCATGAGCCAATTTTTTTTTTTAAAAAAGGTTTTTTATTTCAGATGTTTTAAAAAAAAAGTGAAATAAACAAAGTCTTGGCTTTCAGAATATGAAACTTTTATTTCCAAAGTCACACGATAAATACATTTTTGAAGCTAGTAAAGGGAAGAAGACAGCTCTCCCTCGCCACTCTGCTGTTCCCCTCCCTCCGCTGAAATTATGAATGTAAGCGTATAGTAATCATAGATAACACGGCAGGGTCCGTTACAGTTTGTTTTCATCTGATTTCAAATAAACAAAATGTCTTGGCTTTCAGAATATTAAACTTGTTTCGGCAAATTCAGATGATAAATACAACTTTGAAGCTTGTAACGGCATAATTACAAGCGGAGAACGGAGTAACTTGACATCACAGCAGGCATAACAACAGCCGGTGTTTCTCGTGAGTGTTTTCCCCGGGAAACAAACACAATACACATACACGCAAAAATACACAAACACGTATACACACCCACTCGTGAGCTTCCCCCAGACCAGTAATTCAAACGAAAATATCTTCCCTCCGTAGTATTTTGATCATTTGCTCCGCTAATCAATCAGATCGATGGATTCCATTTTTCTCAAAAATGATGACTCCGAAACAGTCAGTGGGCACCACTTCACAGCCAATCAGAATGAGAATATGTTTCACATGTGACTTATTCAAATTGCGAGCGATTGAGTGACAGATGAAGGTTGTTTAGGAGAAAAAGTTTGAGAAGAAAACATTTGAGAGTGGCGCTCGGAAAAGGAAATTGTTGAGGGAAAAGGAGTTTCGAGACAAGCAGCTATTACAAAAATGCCGAAGTCTACAGGTTATTTTTAAACCTGTAGGCCAGGATGAGGAGGAAGGACAGATGAGTTCTGTACGAGCGGTAGCGGTGCCGGCCGTGGGGCCTCAGATTCAAGTAGGCCGTCTGGTTCTGATAGCGATGGAGTAGCGGGAGAGGAAAAACAGACAGGAGGGACATTATCTGTTAGAGGAGATGGAGAGGACGACGAGGACTTGCTACGTGGAGGGGAGCCAACGGCAACCGAACAAATACATGAGGGAGGCCCGATACGTCACTCATCTGGAGGAGAGGACCAGGCGCGCGTAGAGCAGAGTGGAGAAGTGCGATCACAGAGCCTGCCGAGGCTATAAATGACTTTGATTTGTTGTTTAAATAGGGGGCCTACAAAACCGGGCCCATCAGCCCCAGGGCCTGATGGCAGGTTAAGGCGGGCTTGGATACACCGTTGTAGTGTTGTCCGAGCGGACAAGCACATGCCTCCCCCTCAGGTATGGTAGGAAGTGCCTGAGTGCTAGGTGCACAGCTCGCAGCTTTAGCAACACACGTTGATGTGTTCTGGGCATTCCTGAACAGACCACTGCCCCCGGGCTGTTTTGCCACACCGCACCCCATCCCGAGAGGCTGGCATCCGTCATAACGGTCTCTCTGCGGAAAGGGACGGAGCCCATGGCCACTTCCCTCAACTATACGACCTCTCCCTCCATGGGAATAGTGTGGACACCCTGATTTTTCTGTGCCTGTGCAACTTGGGGTGTAATTGGAGGCCGTTCAGCCATCTCTGCAGGGGGCGCAGTGACAACAAGCCCAAGGGAACGACAGTTGAGGCAGCTGTCAGCTTGCCCAAGAGGCGGATAAACAGGATATATGCCAGAGACCTGCCCCTTTTGAAGAGGGGAAGAAGCTGGAGGATGTCGCCCAGGCGCTGAGCAGATGGGCAGGCCCGCATAGTGACTGTGTCCAGAGCCACCCCAATGAAG